GGATGGATGGATGGATGAGTGGATGGATGGATGGATGAGTGGATGAGTGGATGGATGGATGGATGGATGGATGGATGGATGGATGAATGGATGAGTCGATGGATGAGTGGATGGATGGATGAGTGGATGAGTGGATGGATGGATGAGTGTATGGATGGATGAATGGATGAGTCGATGGATGAGTGGATGGATGAGTGGATGGATGGATGAGTGGATGAGTGGATGGATAGATGGATGGATGGATGGATGAATCCGGATTTATTTTTGTTTTTAATCGACTGTCTCTTCAGATGATTGTTATGCTCTTGCTGAAAGATAGAGTTAATTAATTTCATTTAAATAAATGATATATTTAAATTAGCATTATATCCACCATGAGCACAACTAGTTTTCTAGGCTAGCTAAGGATTACAGAGGAATACATTAGAATAAGGAATACATTATTTCGTTCCTTTATTTCTCCCATTGACGGAGGATGACTGTGAGTGTGAAGGACTGCAGCCTCTCGTCTCCTTCACACCCTCACCCTGCCAACTCATTATGAGCTTAATTACTCCCTCTCTTCTCTCTAATTAACAATGAAGAGCTCGCACGCCCTCACAGCGGAGCTCAGATCTCTAGAGCCGGATTTACTCTTTCTGTGGGATAAACCGACCCTGCGTGCGCTCCTAATACGAGTTGCTGGTGTTTTCCTGCATGATTCATCAATAGTTCGTTAATATGTGATAAACGACTTTCATTTCTCAGTCCTGGAGGCGGGAAACAGACTCAGAGAAAACATGTTTAAATTGTGATATTTCACTGTACTTTCTTACTGTATTTCTGTGAAAATAAATGCAGCCTTTCCATCCATCCATCCATCAAATATTATGCAATCTACCCATCCATCCATCAATCCATCCATCCATCAAATATTATGCAATCTATCCATCCATCCATCCATCCATCCATCCAATATTATGCAATCTATCCATCAATCCATCCATCCATCAAATATTATGCAATCTGTCCATCCATCCATCAATCCATCCATCCAATATTATGCAATCTATCCATCAATCCATCCATCCATCAAATATTATGCAATCTGTCCATCCATACATCAATCCATCCATCCAATATTATGCAATCTATCCATCCATCCATCCATCAATCCATCCATCCATCCAATATTATGCAATCTGTCCATCCATCCAATATTATGCAATCTATCCATCCATCCATCCATCCATCCATCTATCCATCCATCCATCCATCCAATATTATGCAATCTGTCCATCCATCCATCCATCCATCCATCCATCCAATATTATGCAATCTATCCATCCATCCATCCAATATTATGCAATCTATCCATCCATCCATCCATCAATCCATCCATCCAATATTATGCAATCTATCCATCCATCCATCCATCCATCAAATATTATGCAATCTGTCCATCCATCCATCCATCCAATATTATGCAATCCATCCATCCATCCATCCATCCATCAATCCAATATTATGCAATCTATCCATCCATCCAATATTATGCAATCTATCCATCCATCCATCCATCAATCCATCCATCCATCCAATATTATGCAATCTGTCCATCCATCCAATATTATGCAATCTATCCATCCATCCATCCATCCATCCATCTATCCATCCATCCATCCATCCAATATTATGCAATCTGTCCATCCATCCATCCATCCATCCATCCATCCAATATTATGCAATCTATCCATCCATCCATCCAATATTATGCAATCTATCCATCCATCCATCCATCAATCCATCCATCCAATATTATGCAATCTATCCATCCATCCATCCATCCATCAAATATTATGCAATCTGTCCATCCATCCATCCATCCAATATTATGCAATCCATCCATCCATCCATCCATCCATCAATCCAATATTATGCAATCTATCCATCCATCCAATATTATGCAATCTATCCATCCATCCATCCATCAATCCATCCATCCATCCAATATTATGCAATCTGTCCATCCATCCAATATTATGCAATCTATCCATCCATCCATCCATCCATCCATCTATCCATCCATCCATCCATCCAATATTATGCAATCTGTCCATCCATCCATCCATCCATCCATCCATCCAATATTATGCAATCTATCCATCCATCCATCCAATATTATGCAATCTATCCATCCATCCATCCATCAATCCATCCATCCAATATTATGCAATCTATCCATCCATCCATCCATCCATCAAATATTATGCAATCTGTCCATCCATCCATCCATCCAATATTATGCAATCCATCCATCCATCCATCCATCCATCAATCCAATATTATGCAATCTATCCATCCATCCAATATTATGCAATCTATCCATCCATCCATCCAATATTATGCAATCTATCCATCCATCCATCCATCAATCCATCCATCCATCCAATATTATGCAATCTGTCCATCCATCCAATTTCATGCAATCTGTCCACACTGTTTAATTAGATTAGATTCGACTAATTTGCACTGCAGAATCTGATTGTGGTTACATGTCACTTGCAAAATATGAGAACCGTTCCCTCCTTCCATTTAAAAAGTTGCATGTGCAATTTAAAATTCATGATTATATGGTCAGCAGCTTTTTTTGTGACCTGAAAACTGTTTTTAATTGTGATATTTATTTCACTATATTTTTTTATTGTATTAATGATGAAATAAATGCAGCCTAGGTGAGCAGAAGAGACTTCTTTCAAATGTTATCGACCCCAAACTGTTAAAACGTTAGAATATACTGTATCAGGAAAACTAACAAGATGAGCCTAATTATGCAGGATTTCAGTTGTAAGATAACTGTCAGAAAATATATAACTTAAGCACATCCCATTTTAAGGCTTTAAGCTCTAAAAATACAAATCATAGGAGACCCAGCAAATCCACATCTCTCCCAATCCTCTGAGTAACTGAGACGGGTTTCTGGATGACCTCGAACCTCCTGACATTCTCCGGTCCTCATCCCGGTGGACACGGTGTCCTTTAGATCTCATTGACCGGGTGAGGGATCGACCGTTTGGAGACTGTAGTACTTCAATAATGGATTGCACTTAGCAAACAACTGCTGAACTGCGGCTGGAAAAGGTCTTTAGCTCACACACACACACACACACACATAGTGTACAGGTGAAACTCGAAAAATTAGAATATGGTGCAAAAGTTCTTTTATTTCAGTAATTCAACTTAAAAGGTGAAACTAATATATTATATATAGACTGCAAAGTGATTATGGTTTATTAAAACCCCAAAGTCAAAATTAGAATAAAGGTTTTCATAAGCTGTAATCCATAATCATCAAAATTATAACAAATAAAGGGTTGAAATATCTTGTGAGTGAGATATTTCTAATACATGTTTCTCATATCCATCAGCATTAGTCTGCCAGATTGTGTTCAAACTTTAATTGATTTTTAATGACAACTCATAAACCTTTAATGTCAGCCCTACTGTGAGGCTGTTAATCGATGAAATTTGATGAAGCCATTCAAGTTGCATTATTTCAACTAGTTTTTTTTTACAATAATAAAATGTTTAACGGTGGAATTTAAAAAAAAAACATTACCCATGATTCTTCAGAGAAATTTGAAGAATCAAAATTATAACGTTAGTATATGGGGGCATTTAATAATTAAAAAGAAATCGCTAGTTTATACCACCAACGAGGCTCAAAATAGCCCCACACTAACACTAACATAATGAGGGTCCCTGCTTTAATATATACATCTATCTGAAATAATAATAATTATCCATCCATCCCATATCATGCTATCTGTCATCTACCCATCCATCCATCAATCCATCCATCCATTTATCTATTCATCAATCCATCCATCCATCCATCCATCAATCCATCCATCCATTTATCTATTCAATCCATCCATCCATCCATTCATCCACTTTTCAATCCATCCATCTATCCATCCCATAATATGGGGACAAAATATGCAATCTGTCAATCCATCCATTCAACCATCCATTTATTTATCCATACTTCCATTTATCTATCCATCTATCCATTTATCCATCCATCCCTCCCATATATGGCAATCTATCTATCTATCTATCTATCCATCCATCCATTTATCCATCCATCCATTTATCTATCAATTTATCCATCCATCCATTCATCTATCAATTTATGCATCCATCCATCCATCCATCCATCCATCCATATTTTGCTATCTATCTATCTATCTATCTATCTATCTATCTATCTATCTATCTATCTATCTATCTATCTATCTATCTATCTATCTATCTATCTATCTATCTATCCATCCATTTATCCATCCATCCATTTATCTATCAATTTATCCATCCATCCATTCATCTATCCATTTATGCATCCATCCATCCATCCATCCATATTTTGCTATCTATCTATCTATCTATCTATCTATCTATCTATCTATCTATCTATCTATCTATCTATCTATCTATCTATCTATCTATCTATCTATCTATCTATCTATCTATCTATCTATCTATCTATCTATCCATCCATCCATCCATCCATCCATCCATCCATCCATCCAACCATCCATTTATCTATCCATCCATCCATCCATCCATCCATCCATCCATTTATCTATCCATTCATCCATCCATCCATCCATTTATCTATCCATTTATCCATCCATCTATCCATCCTTCTACCCATCCATCCATTTATCCATCCATCATCCATCCATCCATCCATCCTTCTACCCATCCATTTATCCATTTATCCATCAATCCAATAAATATTGTTAAATAGAAACTGGTGTTTCCATTGTTGATTGGGTTTCCAGCATCAAGTCCAAGACTATTCATTTACATACACAATGTAATATCAAATTTAGCATTTTATTCCAAATTTTTAGCAAATTGTTAGCCTTTTATCATAAGTCTTGGAGTATAGCAATAATATGGAGTCGTGACGTGTATGGGCATGGTTACGCCGCGAGAGATGAAGCGGCTCTGACCTGCAGTGTGAGGATCATGCCCATGATCATGGAGTACATGTCGTATTTGCCCAGCTGTTTGCTCAGAGCTGCACTCATGGCCTTCAGCGCCTCCAGATACTGCTTCAGGACCTTCTTCCCCATGTTGCTCAGCACCTCCGACGTGTTCCCATCCATGTAGAGCTTCATCCAGCTCCCGTGAGCCTTCTCCGCCACACGAAACTGCTCATAGCCCACCTCTGAGAGAGAGAGAGAGAGAGAGAGAGAGAGAGAGAGAATACATTCAAAATTTAAGACAGCTTGCAAATCAAAAACACAGACAACCAGACGATTCAGATTTACGTCTTCATTATTGTGAGGAGCTCAAAAAAATATATAAAAAAACACTCAGAAAGAAAAAAAAAAACAGCACATGCAAAATCTGCTCAAAACTATTGAAGAATCTGTCCATTCAAACAGTTTCTGGGACAACTGAATAAAAAGAACCATGAACACATACTATACAAGACCGAAAATCACTCGAAAATCACTTTGAACAACTTTATAGCAAACTAGACATGAGTATAAAACAAAGACAAATATATGAAAAATTAAAGCTACAATACCTACGATTTTATGCCGCTAGAGGGCGCTACATTCAAAACAACAACAACGGCTTTGCTTGATGACGCCGTGGAGCAACACGGAATGATGGGAACTGTTGTTTTCAACTGTCACGGATGAGGTAAAGTTCGATTTCTATAAATGTTGGGTTTAATGACATGATTGTTTTTCATTAAACTGAAATAACCGCAAGAAAAGTCAGGTTTAAAAGTAAATTAGTAAATTTCTAAAATACAGCCAACAGTATTCGCGGTGAATATGACCATACGATTTTTCACATCATATACATAGACAACAAGACATTCGAATAATAATACTAATTGTTTTGCATGGTTTACTGACATGAAATTTGAATAGAGAACACGGTGTTACTCACCTGTCAAGTAAAACACATGCGAGATCGGCGTCTCTTTCGAGTTAGAGTTTTTCACGAAGTTCTCGAAATGCCACACCGATGTTGAGCTGGTGTTATTTCTCTGGGTCGTTTGGTTGACCCGTTCGTTGACGTTTGCGTTTATGAGACTCAGAACCAGGTGCAATCGCTAAAGAATAATTGTGCTCCATTTAGGGTTGGGTATCGTTTGAATTTGAACGATTCTGATTCCGATTCCGATTCCTTGTTTCGATTCCGGTTCCTAACGATTCTCGATTCCAATTCTTTTTAGAGGCAGGGTCAAAAAAGTTTAGCTAACCTTGCTAACCAACGGCCTTTTGGAAGGAAATGATCCTTTCTGAAGGAAATACTCCTTCTGTCACAAATACTCCTTTTGTCACGAGATTTCGTTATTTTTAGAAAAGTGAAGCCACACTTTGGACCACCGACGTAAGCTACTCATGTTCGACTCGCGCGGTTATGCCAACACTTCCGGTAGACGCTTCTTCGTTGGTGTTGTTCAGCGGTTTCTTCTTCCGCTCGGCGGACTGTGAATATCGAAACTAGGAATCGAAATTTTAACTTCTGAACGATTCCGGGAAAAACGAAAAGTTAGTCCCGGTTCCAATCGATACTCGATTCTCGATACCCAACCCTAGCTCCATTCCATAACAAATGCGTGAAACAAGCTGACGTTTGTCGCTTGATAGACGCTAACGCACAACTACAACTTCCGCATTTGTCCAGGACTACACGCAGTACGAGCGGAAACCGAGGTAACGCGGATATGACGCGATTAACTCGCGACTCCCAGCTCACACGTCCCGTTTCCTTGGTTAAAATCGCATTTTTCTCGCGATTTAAACATTGTTTGAAACATTTGGAATATTGTAAGTTATCATCTTAACTAAATATATAACACTGGCCTTGTGATTTTGGGATATTTTAATGCAAAAATCTTAGGTATTGCACCTTTAAACCATATAGAAAACATAATTGGCAAACACCAAAATCCGCTAGATTACCCAATCACAGATAAGGAGCTGATGGATCAAATTCGGGCTCTGCCAACAAAACCAGACGGCATCCTAAACGAGATGCTTAAAAATATAAACCCCAAATTCAAATTGTCCATAATGAAGCTGTTCAACTTGGCTCTGAGTGTTGGTCATGTCCCTGACAGCTGGAATAGAGGACTTATAACACTCATATTCAAGAGTGGAGACACACTCTCAGACCCGACGATTACAGAGGCAACGCCTAAGATCAACACGAGACTCGTTCACTTCAGACCACATCTTCACCCTCCATACCCTGATTGATAAATACATCAACCAAAACAAAACACAAATATTCGCTTGCTTTGTAGATTTCCAGAAGGCCTTCTTTCTAAACTTCTAAAATCAGGAAAAACATACAACATTATAAAAACAATGTACTCAATTAATGTGCTATTAAAATCGGCAATAAACACGCTGAGATCTTCACTCGCGGGCTTATTCTCATTCAAGATTATTAAAACAATAATGATGTGCGCGAATAAATCGTTTATGCAATATTCCACTCACAAAAACAACAATTGTCCATTTTGAATTCATGGTAACTAACATTATTAATAATATTAGCTGTTATTTTGATAATATTAGCATCAGCCAATAACAATACCTGATGAGTTAGTTTTATATAGTTTTATAGTTATATATATATCTCAATCTGTGCATTATAAAATGGTTATTACTCTTGGACAACAATAGCATAAAGAAAATTTAAATAAATATAGGTGAAACTAAAAAAAAATTGAATATGGTGCAAAAGTTCAATCTAATTCAAGGTGAAACTAATATATTATATAGACTCATTACTGCAAAGTGAGATATTTCAAGCCTTTATTTGTTATAATTTTGATAATCATGGCTTACAGATGCAGTCTATATAATATATTAGTTTCACCTTTTAAGTTGAATTACTGAAATAAATGAACTTTTACTATAGAAAAGTGGTTATTCTGATTCAAAATTATATCTATACTTCTATCTACACGACATTAATGACAGATATTTATATTTTAGCTGCGTGTGAGCCACAGTAACACAAGGACGCACATTAAGTATGTACAACAAACCACCGGCTGGCATTGAAGTGGCCGAGCATGCGTGGTTTGCATTCTTAATGTACAGCACACTAAAGCATCCACTTAAAACGGCATCTTTATCCACTCAGCCTTTCAAATGCAAACTGTTTGCATGCACTAAATGAATGACTTCAGCTACAAAAGCCAAATTACTTGGAGATGCTAATGCAAAAACACACCAACGTGCACATCATGTCCATGTGGGCTGTATAGCGATTTGTATACTTGTATAACATCTTGCACTTAAAACTTTATCTTAATACTGTATAATAAGCCTGCTTGCATGCACAAAAAATTAATTAATAAGGCAAATTAGCTCAAAATATCAATGGATGCTAAATGAATAACCTTAGTTACTCTTCATCTGTAGTGTGATGGGGTTGTTCGTAATATTCGTACATGCACAGATATACACGATTCGTACACTCATGAAAAAATCATTGATTAACTTGCTTTACTTCAGCATTATGCAATTCTGTTATTCCAATTTAATGTACTTGCGTTGGGTCAACTTAATTTATTAAGGTTGATTCAACTTATTTACTATGGTTGGGCACTGCTTAATTAAATAGTGTCAGCCCAACTACTTTACAATGTTTTAGACCAACTGATATGATTCAGGTCTTCTAATTTTTAAACTATAGCCACATATTTACTACCAGTAGCACTTAAATGATAAATGATTTCTCATTTTCTCAAAAACACATAAAATTACACTTAATTTTATATTTTAACATATGCAAAGCATGCTGGGAACTAACAAGCACTGGTCAGTTTCAGTTAATGCAACACAAATCATGCATGTAATCCAACACAAACGGATTAAGTCAACTTAAATTTGACATATATTTAAGCAGATTGAACACAACCAAATTAAATTTGGACAAAATGTATAGCAATTGTGCTGCTTAAGCTCATTTTAATCAAGCAATTTGAACAAGCAGCAATTTTCAGTGTTTTTTTCAGTGTGTACTAGTAGTGTGCACACTGGGCGTCAGACAGGGTTCGTGCACACGCTGTCAAATTAAATTACGGGAATTTACTTTTTTGGTTTTCAAGGACTTTTTTATAATAAAAATCTTCATTATCTTTCAAAATCTAAAAAACGTCAACAAAAAAAAAAAAAACAATAAAACAAAATGTTACAAATAAAGCGACCGTCACTTTAAGACACTATGATAAAGATATCGCTTTTTTATTCAAACTCAAAAAATTAGAATATTGTGCAAAAGTTCATTTATTTTAGTAATTCAACTTAAAAGGTGAAACTAATATATTATATAGACTCATTACATGCAAAGTGAGATATTTCAAGTCTTTATTTGTTATAATTTTGATGATTAAGGATTACAGATATGAAAACCTTTTCACAATATTCTAATTTTGACTGGGATTTTCATAATCTGTAATCCATAATCATCTAAATTATAACACATAAAGGCTTGAAATATCTCACTTTGCATGTAATGAGTCTATATAATATATTAGTTTCACCTTTTAAGTTGAATTACTGAACTTCTGCACCATATTCTAGTTTTTCGAGTGTATAATGTGTTTAAATGTGCTTTATAAATAAATGTTGTGTTGATGATTAGAATTAGTGCATCTGATATTTCTTGGTTTCCCCTGAGCATCTTAATCGTCCCGTGTGTGTGTGTGTGTGAACCCTAGAGACACGCGGTGATAACCCGAGACGGAGATCAGGTTATCCCGTGATAAATGAGTTATTAGCGTCTGAACAGATCATCAGATCATCTTATGAATGTTCACTTTGCTGGAGCGTTCATCTAGTGTCATAACACAAATAAGCCAGACAGTGATTAATCAATTACATGATTATGCTGAATTAGCCCATGAATCCATGTCAACTACTATGACAGTGAGTTATTCCCACAGTCTCAATATTACAGATACAGTATTATTATAACATTTCTCACATTATCACAGTTTATTCGCTATAGTTTAGAAAATGGGAATAGGGGTTTGGAACGACACACACCATCAGGCTATTTCTGTGTTCTGTGCAGTGAATGAAACACACAGATCATCGCCTATGTTTACCAAATATACATCATGCAATGAGCTCGACCTTGAACAGCATAACGAATGACCGAAGCAATCATTACGAATGATGACCTTCTGCATTATTATGAGATATATATTATTGAATATAAAATATTATAGCATCCATATATATTGCATGCTACAGAACATTAGAATACTATTCATATGGCTTAACACACACACACACACACACTCACAGGGAAAAGAGGTCAGGATCTGGAGTGATGCTGCATCTGAATGGTAATCTTGAGCGCTCAGCATGTTAGCGTGGGAAAAGTGTTATCTGCAGAAAACTTCCAACGTCTCGCTTTCAGGTCAATGAAACTCTCCTCTTAATCACAATAATTCATCTGCAATTTAATTAAGTGCTTCATTAGGCTGCAAAAGCATGATGGAGAATTTCTACATTGCAGAGAGAGAGAGAGACAGGCGTGGGTGAAGCGAGCTCGTATTCGCTGTACGTCACACACACAAACGCATGAGCTGACCTCTAATAATCGCATATTTCTGAATTTCCTTCAGAAAATGGAAGGACGAAAGTGGGTGGCGCAGTTTGTCGTCCTCATCAATCAGATTTCATCCTCCACTCGCTCCCGAACCTTCACTTCAGCGCAGGTGAGAGAGGAAAGATGACGTCTAATGCATATTAACGACAAGAGTCGCAGAAATCAACAGCTTTGATCTGGTTGGCTGCTTTAACATCATTTCCATTTTCTGAAGGAGTCATAGTGCACAGGAAGCACTGGATCTGTGTGCAATGCAATAAAATTAATGAATTCTGAAACTAATTAATAATAAAATAAATGCAAATTAATACAATTATAAAATTAATTAATAAAATTAATGCAATGCAATGCAATAAAATCAATTAAGTATCAAATTAATTAATAATAAAATAAATGCAAATTAATACAATTATACAATTATAAAATTAATTCAATGCAATCAATGAAGTATCAAATTAATTAATAATAAAATTAATGCAATGGCATGCAATTAATTAATAATACAATTATTTATAATTAAATTAATGCAATGTAATACAATTAATCAATTTTAAAATGAATTAATAATAAAATAAATGCAAATTAATACAATTATAAAATTAATTAATAAAATTAATGCAAAGCAATGCAATAAAATCAATTAAGTATCAAATTAATTAATAATAAAATAAATGCAAATTAATACAATTATACAATTATAAAATTAATGCAATGCAATCAATGAAGTATCAAATTAATTAATAATAAAATTAATGCAATGGCATGCAATTAATTAATAATACAATTATTTATAATTAAATTAATGCAATGTAATACAATTAATCAATTTTAAAATGAATTAATAATAAAATAAATGCAAATTAATACAATTATAAAATTAATTAATAATAAAATATTAAAATTAACGTAATGCAATGCAATAAAATCAATGAAGTATCAAATTAATTAATAATAAAATTAATGCAATGCCATGCAATTATTTAATAATACAATTATTTATAATAAAATTAATGCAATGTAATAGAATTATTCAATTTCAAAATTAACTAATAATCAAATGAATGCAAATTAATACAATTATAAAATTAATTAATAATAAAAATTAATGCAATGCAATAAAATCAATGAAGTATCAATTTAATTAATAATAGAATTAATGCAATGCCATGCAATACATTCATTAATAATACAGTTATTTATAAATAAAAAAAAATTAATGCAATTTAATACAATTAATCGATTTTAAAATGAATTAATAATAAAATAAATTCAAATTAATACAATTATAAAATCATAAAATGAATTAATAATAAAATTAATGCGGGGCCTGGTTGAGTTAGTTAGTAGTGTGTTAAACTGGCGGCTATGGGAAGGGGCGGGATTTCCCAAACACACTCGAAGCACTCGACCAATCACAACACACTGATCCAGTAATCAATAATCAACAGGAAAACCTGTTCTAGTAGAGCCTGAAACTACATCAAGAGTTTGCATTAGGACACATTTAAGTGAAAACGTCAGCAGACAGAAGCATCAAACCCCATAACACTGAATAAACACACACACACACACACACCTCATAAGCCAGAGAAACTCGTGTAAGATGTGAGAAGTGAATGAGCCAGAGATGGATGTTTGTGGGAGGCCAGATATCCAGCTGAGAGAAAATACAACACACACACACTCACACACACACACACACACACGGCTTGAGCTAAAGGGTATAAATTCTGTATTTCTATGGATTTAAAGTGCTCTAAAGGCCCAGTCGAGCTCTTATGTCGGGTCCAGCACTTCATGAGCTTGATACTCCAGCAGCAAAAAGGCAAAACAAAACCGAACTGGACTGACAGCACAAGCCCTAGATAGTGGCCAACTCTAGTGTGCTTGGCCATGGCTCAGTGTGAATGCATTAGCTTCATTAGGATTTGCATTTAATAAAAATAAAGGTCCGTGTTTTATAAAACATGTTCACAAAACTAAATGAAAATGTTTTGTGATATGCAAGATATCGTTAATTTAGTTGTACAGGCTACGTTCTCATAACCATTTATTTTGTTCTAATGTCACTAGTAATTAATCTCAAGGTTTACTGCTTTACACGAGTCTTTTGTCGTGTGGTTTTGGTGAAGTGTGGGCTACTAAAATAATCATTCAGGTGTGTACCTTACTTCATCTGATGGTTTAGAGGACGTTTACTCGAGTCGTTACAAGGCGAGCACGTCAAGTGTAAACGTCTGCGAAAGTGTAAACAAGGCTTTAGTGCGTCACACACACGTGAACAGCGTCGGCCAATAGTGAGCTTAGGACACACCATGTGACACACCAATTTAATTGTTAAGTTGGTCTCACGTCCGTTGAATAACACGGGGAGGCGGGGTTTATGACCAATACCGGGACCGGCCACCGGGGGGGCGATTGAGACGCTCTGGCGTCACTTTTCAGGGCTTTTGCAGCATGCAAGCTGCTTTGAGACAGTCAGGATTGTAAAAAGCAATATATAAATAAAGGAGACTGGACTGGACTGGACCAGACTAGGGATGTCCCGATCCGATCCACGGCATCGGTATCGCGCCGATACCGGCCCAGAACGCTAGATCGGAGATCGGAGGGGAGAAAAAAATATGAGCGATATCCAGTTTAGCGGCGCAGCCTGTCACGTGATGATTGTTGTGTTTAAGCACACGCGCGCAGAGAATCACTCTCGCTTTTGCGCACGGATTCTAATGTAATCGGATGATTCCACAAAAGCTGCATTTCAGTCTTTTCAGAAATTCATTGGCTATCAGAAAATAGCGTCATTTCATTCTCTATTGCAACTGGATAGATAAACTGTCACTCAAAGAGAGAGCGAAACTGGCGCGCGTAAAGTTTGAAGCGAAATTTACGCGCGTGACGCGCGTCAGAATCAAAATCCGTTGGCGGTCATTGTTTTTATGTCGACCGAGCATTCATCAAGAGAGTTACCGCTCTGTATTTACTCTGGATAGCAGAACAGCGGCGTGGGGATCATCGTCGCCGTATATTTGTGTCCACCGGACCCTTCGGAGCCGAACCGTTTGGCGAGTTTCACCATTTGCTCGCTCCAGGAGCTGCGCTGGATAACGGCCGCTGTCAGCGGTACTTCCGCCTGTCACGCGCCCAGTTTGATGACCTGTTGTCCCGCATCTGAGCGAGGATCACCCTCGCCCGGCCCCTCATCCATCTAATCTAGCTGTCATTTATTTTTGTTTTGATAATAAATAGAGCCAGCCTTCAAACGTTATTAACCTGTCCTGTGATTTTTTTCTCTCTCTCACGTCCAGACACGAATTTATGCACATATGTTGATATATATATATAGCGCGCTATGTATGTTATGCGCGCAGTATGTCTCGCTCTAGATTCCGGGAGATTTGAACTAATTTGCGGGCATCAGGGAGACGCTATCAATATGCGGGAGACTCCCGGAACTTCCGGGAGACTTGGGATGTCTGTCTTTACAACATAACACTATTTCTAGATATGGAATGAATAACATTCAATACAAAATGAACATGTCTCCATATAGAAATAATGTTTTAAGTGATGAAACATTTGCTTTGTTGTGCATAATCCCAACATGCATTTAGTCATATTAACAAAATAATTTATTGAAGCATCCAGACACTTCACCACGTGAGCAAGCAGCTAGGCTCCTGATTGGTTAACGCGGCGCGAATTCACGCCAAAGTTCAGATTTTTCAACTCGGGCGGCAGACGCGAATTCGCGTCAAACGCGTGAATGCACAACGCTCAATTCGCGTCATTCGCGCCAACTTGACGCGCGAATGAGGCGTATTCGCGTCTTCCGCGCCGCGCTCCACGCCTCATTCGCGCCGCAGGAATTTTTCTTGCATTGACTTAACATTGAAATCATTCGCGCCTGACGCCCTATTCGCGTCCGGTGTGAACGTAGCATTAGTGCGTCGAAGTTGTGATAGCGCTGTCGGCTAACGCGAAATGCTACTATTTACATTCCATGGATGTTTATTCATATATACAATTGTTTTGGACCAAAAACTTCTTCAAATTGGATTGTATGGACGCTTTACAGTGAAACCAAACCATTTTTGTTGGAATGTGGACTAACAGATGGCTAATTGGTGAGTTTCTTCCAGTTTGTGTTGGTTTGTTTTGGCTGTTGGTGGTCTGACAAAGAGACAGATTGTGCCCGCTGTGTTGATTGTATCTTAAAATGGTTTACGTCGTTCGAATCACGAGTTTCTCAGCTTTCCAAAGATATTTATTATGTTTACTTTTGTGTTTGTTTTGTCTTTCACAAAGTTAAACCTATAAACCACCCTGTGGGCCGTATACGGCACGTCGGACCACGAAAAAAAAAATATCGGACTAATATCGGTATCGGCAAAAGCCAAAGGTGCGGCATCGGTATCGGTATCGGAAGTGAAAAAGTGGTATCGGGACATCCCTAGACCAGACTGGACTCACCCTTGTGGAAGGAGGGGTTGCTGTCGCGCAGGAGTCGGCTCAGCTGGTGTCCGTTGATCTGCAGGAGGCGGAGCTGATCCCGGAGCGACGAGTCCTCGAACACGGCCGGGATCAGGCGGCCCACGCTGTTCTGGGACACCGGCAAACCCAGAGCCAGAGCGAGGGTGGGGGGAAGATCCACCTGCTCCAGGACCTCCGGCTCCTCCAGGTCCGCTGGAACACACACACACACACGTTGGTAATGGCCCATTTCTGTCCATTTTTTAGTTCAGCAAAATGTGAATAACAGGGTCAGTTATTTAGTCTGTGCTGTTGGGAAACACTATATTACTGTTTAACTGCAGTTTTGTAAGTAAGACTCTTCTACACCCAACTATCCAACTATCCATCTGTCCGTCCATCCATCCATCCATCCATCCATCCATTTATCCATCCATCCATCCATCCCTGCATCCATCCTTTTATCCATCAATTTATCCATCCATCCATTTATCCATCCATCCAACCATACCTGCATCCATCTTTTTATCCATCCATGCATCCATTCTTTTATCCATCCATCCATCCATCCCTGCATCCATCCATTTATCCATCCATCTATCCATCCATCCCTTTTCCATCCATCCATCCATTTATCCATCCATCCATCCATCCATCCCTGCATCCATCCTTTTATCAATCTATTTATCCATCCATTTATCCATCCATCCATTCATCCATCCATTCCTGCATCCATCAATTTATCCATCCATCCTTTTATCCATCCATCCATCCTTTTATCCATCCATTTATCCATCCATCCCTGCATCCATCCTTTTATCAATCAATTTATCCATCCATCCATCCATTCCTGCATCCATCAATTTATCCATCCATCCATCCCTGCATCCATCCTTTTATCCATCCATTTATCCATCCATTTATCCATCCATCCATTCATCCATCCATTCCTGCATCCATCAATTTATCCATCCATCCTTTTATCCATCCATCCATCCTTTTATCCATCCATTTATCCATCCATCCCTGCATCCATCCTTTTATCAATCAATTTATCCATCCATCCATCCATTCCTGCATGCATCAATTTATCTATCCATCCTTTTATCCATCCATTTATCCATCCATCCATCCATTCATCCATCCATTCATCCAACCATCCATCCATCCATCCATCCATTCCTGCATCCATCCATTTATCCATCCTTTTATCCATCAATCCATCCTATCTACCTATAGTCCATTCACCAGTTTTTTCTACTCCTTTTTCTCTCGTTCCAGTGCTGCTCTGCAATCTGGCACCCAAAATTAACACATATTTACATATTAAGACGTAGATCAGATGACTAGATGACACTGCATAAAAAAATTATACACGCTAAACTTATAATATATTCATCACATAAATAAGACCAACATCAGCGTTTAAGTCTGTGTTTCCTGAACTCAGAAAGTGCATTTATAATTGCGTTGCGTCTTCCACCCTGCCTTTGCGCACTAACAAACCAGTAGATTTGTGTTTGTGTGTGTGTTGGGTAGTAGTCGGGTTAGTGTGTGTGTGTGAGAGAGAGAGATGAGTAGGTTTAGGGGTCCGGTTAGAGTGTGTGTTTGTGTATGTGTGTGTGTGATGGGTATGTTTAGGGGTTGGGTTAGTGTGTGACAGAGTGTGTGTGTGTGTGTGATGGGTATGTTTAGGAGTCGGGTTAGTGTGTGTGTGTGTATTGGTGAATCAGACTGAATTGATTCCAGGACTCTGAGCTGTGATGTGAAACAGAGAGCTGATCTTGAACACGTCTCGCGACGGCGCTGTGATCGGATGGACGGCGAGGTCAGCATGCAGCGGGTGTGAAGATGAGCTCCTCTTTAAATAAAAACCACAGTGTTAGTGTGTGTGTGTGTGTGTATAGATGAGTAAGAGATCACCAAAATAGATCAGGCAGGAAAAGAAACAATTATCACATTCACCCCGTCAGTCTGGTGTAGACAGATGCTCTGCACTACACACTCATCGGGAGAGAGAGTCGAAGTGGATAATGAGCATCTCACACAGATTTTCACACTCTAGGGTGTGTGTGTGTGTGTGTGTGTTCACATGGTTATGCATGCGTCATGTTTGAGCTGTGTGTATTGCGTCACGCGATCAGCGCTGCGCCAGCTCTGTGTGTCACAATCAATTACACACTGGACTCAATGCAAATTAATCCATTATAAAACAGTGGGGGGGGGGGGGGGGATTAATGCTTTATATTATCAGACAGAGATGAATCAGTGGCTAATTTAAAACCCCCGGGGCATAAAATTATCCAGCAGCATTCCTCTAATGCAATCAAACCGTCACAGACATTTGAGATTTAAAGGGGTCATGACACGCGATATCTCATTTGCTCATTTGCATTGATCTTTTGACATATAAGACGTCTTTGACTTATTAAAGTTTCTTCGCTTAAAACGTCCTCCTCATTATAAACAAAGCTTTTATTTAATCAAGCTTCAAAAACGGCTTGTTTTGATATTGCAGGATCTGTGATGTCACATGGGCAACTTCATTAGCATATGCCCGCCTCCAGAGCAAGACATCGACCAATAGATATCCATCATCGCATCATCGCCCACTTGCGTTCAGTCGCTTAGATTTATTTCAGTAATTCAACTTAAAAGGTGAAACTAATATATTATATAGACTCATTACATGCGAAGTGAGATATTTCAAGTTATAATTGTGATGATTATGGATTACAGCTTATGAAAACTTTTTCAAAAATTTGGGGTTTTCATAAGCTGTTTACCTTTTCTGATCTTGACAAAACACATAAGGTTCCAGATTTTGTGACAGAATTGACATTTGGACAGAAATTTATTAATTTGTTAAGGCAGAATGTATTCAACTAAATTCAAAGGAATTAAATAACACCCGGTGGCTATTTTTGGTACTACGCCTAAACAAAATCTCATGGGAACTTCAATTTTTGTGATATCATCTTGAAATTTGGAACATAGATTTTCTTGGTTAGATTTATGGCTTTGATTTTATAGTAAAAAATTTTTTTTTGTAAAATAACTATTTTATATAAGAATATATAGTACAGTGTATTTGATTTAATGTAAACTTAAACGTCCATAACTTTTTCATACTTTCATTTTTTTAAGTGTTTTCACTTCAGCAATAATCTGCTGAGTGTTTCCTTTAAAACAAGACCAAACTTGGGTATATTTCAAAGCATTCTTGAATTACAACCATTTAAGTTTGAATAGTGCATTTTAACCCCCATTCTCAAAAAGCGAAGGGTTTAAAACACCTAAAAAGTTCTTGATTTTATTCATTGGGAAAAGTTGCATTGAAGGGCAAACTGTACAACAGTAATGCTTATTAAATAAAGACTAGCCAGCATTAAATTACTACATTAGCCACGATTTTGAGGGTGGAAGTGCTCATGAAAAACTACATCTTGGCTGTAAATGGTGCAAGAAACCTTGAGGGAAAAAGCTAATAAACGTATTGCTCCAGAAAATTAAAGAGTGTGAAACACAGCCAGGAATAATTGCCCTTCATTATGTGAAACATTTCTAACAAAAGCAGAACATAATTTTGTGCATAAAACACATTTTAAATGCAAGACTGGTTGAAACAACTCTTAAACAGATGTACAGATGCGTAGAGCTTTGCAGATTCTAAGAATATCTCACGCAGTCATTAACGCTGATCTGAACAGTGCATCTGTTTTGGATATAAGCATTGTTCGGTGTCGTGCGCTGCTGAAACAGACCTTTGATGCTGGAAGACTGATTACACACTCACACACAGCAGTGTGTGTATCTTCCCGTTTCTGGAGCTTTTACAGCAGTGGGGAAGGCAGGCACGTTCAGCTCACAAAAATATTCATTTTCTTGAATATTTTCTTGAAACTCCAAGTGCAAAAGTTCATTTATTCAACTTAAAAGGTGAAACTAATATATTATATAGACTCATTACATGCAAAGTGAGATATTTCAAGCCTTTATTTGTTATTTTGATGATTATGGATTACAAATATAAAAATTAAAATTCAAAATTAGAATATTGTAAAAAAAAATCATATCTGTAATCCATAATCATCAAAATTATAACAAATAAAGGCTTGAAATATCTCACTTTGCATGTAATGAGTCTATATAATATATTAGTTTCACCTTTTAAGTTGAATTACAGAACTTTTGCACCATATTCTGATTTTTGCATGCTGGTTATTAATCTGATTTAAAGCAAGGTAAATATGAAAAATCATCACTTTAGGCACACCGACACACGTGGAGATTGATTTATGGTGCGTAAAGCTTCTTTGACGGACTATCAGAGCCCTTGTTTAGCTGAGATATCTGTCGAAATAACAAGCATGAATAAAAACTTTAAAAAATATTTTGAAACTTAAGTTCATGTTTTCTTTAAATTTATGGTTTTATCTCTTGCATTTTCTGCTCATAATTATTATTTTTTTTCCTTCTTTCCATGTTCTGCGCTTGCTCTTCCAAATGTTGCAGTTCGAGTTTCATGCAAATTAGGGTGGGCTTAAGCGTCACCATTGGTCCACTAGTTCTAGATTGACAGCTCTTCCTCTAGCCAGCCAATCGAAGAGGGGAGTTCACTTATTTTTGAATCACGCTTATTTTTAATCCATGGCCGCAACACATTTGATCCCATACCCCGTCCCTCACAAAAATTTTCTTAAATGCATTGGTGAATATGCTGGTGGTTAATCTGATTTAAAGAAAGGTAAATATGAAAGGCACACAGACTCACATGTGTACCGGACTATCAGAGCCCTTGTTTAGCTGAGATATCTCCCATTATTGGATATGGCTTAACAACTGTGGGAGGCATAAAATCCTGGCCAATATACTTTACTGAAGGACTAAGACATCAAATATACAACCCAGGCTTAAAATAACTTTAGTTTCGAACAGAGTAACTTTGCAGTTGGGGAAAAAAAAATCGATAATGTTTCTCTTGAACTTCACAGAGAGTCGCAGACCCTTTACGTATCTCAATCTGAGTAACCTTTACTTAAAAAAACCACCAGATAACAATGTTTTCGATAATCCAATTGTCAGATTCACCAGAGAAAACACAAGAAGGGTCTGAGGGCGTGTCCTCGCATTGATTGACATACAGACCCCCCCGCCCTAAACCAGTTCAAACTGATTCTGAAGATTTCAAGGGTCATGCCAATCTCATTGCTACAATAAACACTAACCCAGAGGGCCCTATTTTGGTCTAAAGCGCGCGGCACATTTAAACAACATGGCGCTGGACGTAAAAATGAAAAATGCGTCGGGCTGAAACTAGCAAAACACACTTGTGTGATGGCGCCCTGAGAGCGGTTCATTCATAAATCCGTAATATCATCCCTTCATGCTGTGGAAACACAAACTGGAGACAGAATGGGCGGAGCTACATCGACTCACCTTTCCTCCTGAAGGCGGGGCTAATGAGCACGAGCGGCGTGTTGATCTCCGCCTCTGACGATCCGCCGTGACTGCCGGTCTCAGACATGCCGTGATCTCCACACACCACCAGCAGGTTGGGCAGCGTCCCTTCAGATTCCTGAAACACACACATCAAAAACTAAAACGTTTCATATATTAACACTTTTATTGTTCTTCTAAATAATAAAATATTTAGATGACATTTAAATAAAAAATTTCGAATTTAGAGCCCGACCGATAAAGGATTTTGAAGGCCGATAACGATACAAATATTTTTTGGTTTTAAAATTTGATATCGGCCGATATTTTTTATTTTATTTTTTCAGAAACGAGCAACAAAACATTAACAGATTTCCCAAACATTAGTTATTTGTAGTTATTTATGAGTTTTAACTAAAATAATATGATTTTTAAAAAGAAACGTGTTTCTTTTGTCACAATAGAACAGACTGATTAGCTAGCTTTGTGGTTAGCTAGTCTATGATGAGCCATAATTTAGCAATGGTTCAGCAATTTAGCAATATTTTCAATATAACAGGCCAAGGAGAGATGATGCGTCTCATTGCTGTAACTGTCACGCGCTATTAAAGAAATACTTCAGGTCACATTGTCAAAAGTTAAAAGGACAGTCAGTCGACTACACCATAACAATGTTACGTAATTATTACTAGCTAATTCCGCTTCACTTTCGGCTTATTTAACCCTTGTGCTGCATTAGATTTTTAACACCGTTGAGTGCATTAAGGACCAAAAATGGCCACATATTAAACATTGCCTAAAATATTATATATTATTATTATTTTTCACTTTTACCAAGTTAAATCTTTTAACCAGCATCAGTCCTCATCATAACTACCAAAAATGTATTCAATTTCAGGATTTTAACCCTTTAATTACCAGTTTTGTTTGTGAAACCATCGATTTGTATAAGAGGAAAAAACACAAAAATTCAATTATTTTCAATAAACTAAATGCAAAGAGAAAACTTTAGATTTGGATTATCACAGTCCCACTTTGCAAAAAATCCCACTTAGCGCGTTAGAGACCAAAAATGGCCACCTATTAAACATTGCCTATTGCCTAAAATAAGGTGCATTTCCACCCATAGGGAATAAATATGTAGTGTGACGTCATCTGGTGGAATACACTATATAATGCAAATATAATGCTTTTGCTTCAAAATGAAAGGATGTTTGTGCAAAAATCATGTTTCATGTATTACTGACAGCCTCAGATTTAAACAACGTTTTAATGGGTTTCAATGGGCCATTTTTGGTCTTTATGGTGCTGAGTGTTACTATTTGATCTACACAGTGTGTGTTATACATATTTTGCAAAATGGGATCACATTTTTTACATGTATCCAAAAAGGTACAATTTTGCCAAATTTCATACCATTTGCATTAAAACAGCCAAAATGGTCAAAGAAATTAAACTGCAAAAGACCAAAAATATCCCTAATGCAGCATAAGGGTTAACAGCAGCAAAACTGGACATGATAGCCACAAATGTTGTCCTGCTTATTTGAGTTAAAAGAACTGATGGGGATGAACTTTTAATTGTTATTCAAGCAATGTATGTATCGTGACCAACTCAACGAGTGTTGCCAACAGGAACGGTGTAGAGCGCCCTCTGGTGGACAAACCATACAACTCCAACACTCATGACATGGTTCAAGCGTGATTCGTCTATTTTTATTTTGTTTTTTAAATATTCATTTATCGGCCATTATAACTGCCGATACCGATAGTTTGGAAAATGCTTAATATCTGCCACATCTATAATATTGTATATAATGCATTTATTTAGTAAAATCGATAGAAAATTAGTTAAATAGATCATTCTTAGTCTCAGACGTGACGCCGATGGACCAACGGCTGAACGTCTGACGTATTCTGCAAAACACTTTCGGATGTTCGGGAAATGTGTGTGTGGTGCGTTCTTTAACGGTCCTGGAAACAAATGCCGAGGCCAAACCCCTTTGTTGAAGAAGAACGCATCAGGTTTACCACTATGACAGCAAGAGCTTCAAGATCAACTAAATGCTCCATTTTCAAGTTCGCGACTCCATTGTTGCTGTAAACTTGCACAACGTTCTTGAAAAACAATAATTTATTAGATAGACGCAGGGCTGTTAATATAGATATATAGACGTTATATTGTCACGCCCCTAAACATGACGCAGAATAAAGCGAACTGTGATTGGTTGCGTTACATGTCAGTCAAACATCCTTGGCCGAGAAAAGCTGCGATTGAAGGTCTGGTTACGCGAGACTAATTTTTATATGATGAATTATTGTATTTTAAGACTGAAGTCTGGGTCTAGCCAGCAGAAAATAAAAACGGTGAAGGTATTACAAAAATTTGATTTTTTTTTAAATATGTGTATATTTTGTCTTCATGTATATTTCTATCACCATTTATTTTATGTTTGCTACTGTTCAAACAAACAAATACACACACACACACACACACACACACACACACACACACACAACCGTATAAAAGTTTGCTGTTTTTGAAGTCTCTAACGGACAACAAATCTTCATTTATTTGATCAAAAATGCGGTAAAAACAGTAAAAATTGTGAAATATTATTCTAATGTAAATCATCAGTTTTCTATGTGAATATATAGTAAAGTGTAATTTATTAAGCTGAATTTATCATCATTACTCCAGTCTTCAGTGTCACATGATCCTCAAATCACTCTAATATGATGATCTGATGTTCAAGACACATTTCTTGATCTTGCAAACCCCTTATAGAGCAAAAATGATGTTAAAATAAATGTATTGTCAGTTTCCAGGAGATTTCACAGTATAATTGTGTGTGTTTGAGAGTGTGTGAGAGATGCTGGATTGCTGTCCTCTTCACTGGAGCAAATCTCTGAAGTTTGAACATGTGTGTGTGTGTGTGTCTCACTCATCAGGGACAGGGATGATCAGCTCTGTTTCACATCAAAGAGTCTCTCGGCCCACTTGATTCCCTCACACACACACACACACACACACGCCTCCCAGCTGGATGGCCGTCGCTGTAAACGCTGACTCTGAGCCCTAACACCACACTAATGATGCTTCGCTAACAACAAGTCCTCCGGTTCAGATATTCATGAGTCCACTAAACGCATGCTAATGACTAGCCTCCAGCTAACACACGCTAATGACAGGACGCCTGAATAAAGACATTAGAAACTCCACTTGCGGCCTGTAACCCGCCGGCAGTGTGCCGAAATAATAGCGCGAGTTGACGGGTGTGATTTACGCGGAGGAAACTCTTGAAATGCTGTGAGCAGCACCACATCACATTACACAGTTTCTTGGGTCACACGTTAAACATTACGGCATCTGAAAAGTAGCAAATAAACTACATAGTTAGGGTTAGAATTGTACTTCTACAAATAAAATTATAATATAATGAAATAGAAAAATACAATTAATTTGATTTTTTTGTTGTTGCAAATTTGCTTGGGAAATGTGACCAACACAGCTGAACCGTACTGAACCGTACACCACACACACGTCACTGAACGCGGATCCACAACAGAACCGGAACACAACACAATGCTGAACAAAGTTATTTTTGGACCAAAATGTATTTTCGATGCTTCAAAACATTGTAACTAACCCACTGATGTCACATGACTACTTTGATGATGTCTTTATCTCCTTTCTGGACAAGGATTATACCGTACATACATTTCCAATGGAGGGACAGAAAGCTCTCGGACTAAATCTAAAATATCTTAAACTGTGTCCTGATAGCTTTGCTGGTCTTGCTGGTGCTCTGAGACATAAAACAAATCCATTATATGTATATTAGAGCCCGACCGATAAAGGATTTTGAAGGCCGATACCGATGCAAATACTTTGGGGTTTTAAAATCCGATATATATCGGCCGATATTTTATTTATTTATTTGAAACTAGTCACAAATTTTGTCCTGCTTATTTGAGTTCAGAGAACTGATGGGGATGATCTTTTAATTGTTATTCAAGCAATGTATGTATCGTGACCAACTCAACGAGTGTTGCCAACAGGAACGGTGTAGAGCGCCCTCTGGTGGACAAACTATGCAACTCCAACACTCATGACATGGTTCAAGCGTGTTTCCTCCGTTTTTATGTTATTTTTGAAATATTCATTTATCGGCCATTATAACTGCCGATACCGATAGTTTGGAAAATGCCTAATATCGGCCGATAATATCGGTCTGCCGATATATCGGTCTGGCTCTAATGTATACATCTAAAAAAAATTATTTGCTTGAAAAGCTGTTTTTGATTTCAGAAATGTGTTATTAATAAAACAAGGGGGGAAAAAAAGGGAAAACTAGATTATTTTCTTACCCAAATTAATAGATATCTTTTCTTTTTTCCAAAAAGAAGACTTCAAATCTTATCAAAATTAGGTTTCCTAAAACTAGAAAAAATATCTGTGAATGGCCTACAAATTCTACAAAATCTTTCAGAAAAATAGACTTAAGTCATTTTGCATCTCCAGTAAATGTATCTTTATTTAATTGGGGTCAATAATTTAATCCCTAATTTTAACTCATATTTGATCATCAAAAAGACTGTGAAAAAAAGGTCTTCATGCCTTAAAATATCTCGAATGTAACTCGACACCCTTGCCTCACTTATTAATAGTATGCGCGGTTCTATGAGTATGCAAATGAGCCCCGCCTCCACTCACTCACTCACAGATCCACTGGTTGACGATCACACATTGCTTGAATCTATTTGGTCGAGGAACGTTATCTAAGGTGTGCAATTATTTTGGGAAACAAACAGGACTAAAGTAGTTCCAGCATGTTTTGACCGCATTATCATATCACTTGTAAATAAACAACACTGCTTGTATGCCTCAGTCTAATGCGAGATATGCACACACACACAAAACTCCCATTATAATCAGTAAAGCAGCTGTCTACACTGCAATGAATCTCCCACACCCTGATAATAAACAGGTCCGGTTGCATAAACGGCTAAGACTCTTAAAGTTAGTCATCACATATTTATTTCTTTAAAGTCACCCTGTAATCAATAATTGTAACCCTTAATCTCATCTTTGTTCAACAAAATTACGTTTTTTCTAAGAAAAAATGTCTTCGTGTCT